TAGTCATTTTTCACTTAAAAAGTAGGTTAACATTTAATGAGCCTATTACTATTTAAAACTGAATTACAAATGATTTTCAGTGTTCTGTTAGAATTTTTAGTATGTTAAATATCAATAGGTAAAATCTATATAGCAAAAACTCTTCAGGTTCTACCAAAACTGTTAGGAGTCTAAAGGGGTTCTGAGATCAGAAAGTTTGAGTACTGGTGGACAATACCCAGACTGGTGAGCCAGACTTCAGGGATTTTCCCCCACCCTGCTCCAGGCTGCTTTTGCAACCTTACTGTTTACCATTATCTCCTAAGCAGCCCTAGGTCCCAGTCTAGTCACCTACTTACTGATTTCTGCACAGGTTCATGTTTTTTTCTATGATATTCCTCTACTTGAGGCACATGTTTCTACCTTCTTCATAGCTTGTTCTGGTAATTAATAGGTCAGGGCTATCCTCTAAGCACCAGGGCCTGTAGATGGACAGACTCATTCAGACCCAACTTCACAGTGTGTTTATGGATATATCCTGCATGTGGCCTTCAGGATATGTTTGTCTTCCTTAATTAGAATTCTTGCTGTCCAAAGGACCTAATTTTCTGTTTTATATTTTTACCATCAAAGGACCAAGTGAGCTACCATAAACATTATGGGTTTTGGGTAAATATTAGCTGATAATTTCTAGTGATACCTGTGAGCTTTTATGATCAGAATAATGTAGTCACTGCAGTGGGCATAACACTTGGTAGCTGGGGGAGGGGTGAAGGAGGTGATTCTTGCTTAGAACCTATATGTAAGAGACAGGATTTGTAGCCAGGAAGCAATCAAACCAGACACAAGAAAGCACATCACCAAAAGAATAACCAGATGCTACAGGTCTTTAGAGAAGGGGAGGTGGCACTGGGGGCACATGGGTATTTGGTTGGCTAGGGCAATCACAGAAGGCTTCTGGGAGGAGGTAGGGACTTGACAGAGGCTTGTTAAGGAGGCAAGAGTTTAGTTAGAGGTCAGCAAGGCAGGGATTTCAGGTCAGTGAATAACGAGAGCCAAGGCAGAGGCAGAAATGAGCACAGCATGTACACAGCCTAATGAGGAGACTGCTGACCACATTGAAGGTGAATGGTGCAAAAAGGATAAGGTTGAAAGCTGGTCAGGGTTCAGGCTGGATGTGGAAGGAAAGAAGAAAACATTTTTCAGGGTAGGGAAGTGACACAGTGTTTTCTGAACACCAGATGGATAATTTGTGAGAGGAAGTATAAAGGTGGAGCATCTAGTTCATGATCCAGGGGTTTGATGTGGTAAAGTTCTGGACTGGGCACCAGCAGGATTTCTTTGAAATGCCATATATGCCAGGAACCACACCTGGAATGTAGTTCTATGCCTTTAAATGGCAATGTTTATATTACAAGGGCAAGGAGAATAAGACCCCACTATAGAGTGTTAATGACACAGTTGAGTCTATAGTACATGTGGTTGATTTTGAGCTAAAATCTTTTATTTTAGTCATTTCTCWTTGTCTTATTGTGTCAGCCACTAAGTAGCTAACTGTATGTGATTTGGGGCAAATTTCTCACTTTTTGATGTCTTGGTTTTGTCATCTGTGAAATGAGGGTATTAATAGTACCTGTCTGATAGGCTTATTATGGGGATTAAATGGGTTAACTTAACCTGTAAAATGCCTATATTAGAAGATGCATTTAAAAATATTAGCTACTGTTTATTCAGTAATTCACATTATCATAAGAATATAAATATTTTAATCACTCAAATTGCCCCCCAAAATTATTTTTGTARTGTGCATAGACAGCATACTTTTATTTTGTTTATTTTTGTATGGTGTTAAGGATTGAACCCAATGCTTCACACATACTAGGCAAGGGCTCTGCCACTGAGCTACAGCCCCAGCCCCCCAAAACAAAAAAAAATCTTGCTGGAGACATTTGCAAAGATGGGATTCATTGCAAAGATAGAATATMAAAAACTTCAGTTCCTTCAACTCATTAAAGTCTAGAGTGCAGAATCCAGATGCCCAAGACACATTTTAATCATGCCACTTCTCAGTTAAAACACCTTTACTGGCTCCCTCTATGGAGAAGCATGTGATCTTCTGGCCAGCTTGCCAGACAGCCAGACTTCTTCCATGGGGCTTGAGAGGGGCCTTCTCAGTCTCCTCCCCCGATAGTCCATGCTGACTTGGCCTCAACTATACTGTTTTTAATAGACATTTTAGAGCAGTTGTAGGTTCATTGAAAAACTGTGCAGTGAGTTCCCATATACTCTCTTCTCYGATAGTTCCAATTATTACATCTTGCATTAATGTGGCACATATTACCATTGATGAAATAATATTGATGCATTAACTAAAGTCCTTAGTTTACATTGTTTAATCTTTGTGTTATACAATTCTATGGGTTTTGACAAATGCATAATGTCCTACATCCATCATTACTTTATCATAAAGCATAGCCCTTTATTATACCTTTTCCTTCTCTCTGTCAATTTGTATTTTAATTTTTGGGAGGGGTACTGGGGATTGAATTCAGGGGTACTCCACCACTGAGCCACACCCCAGCCCTTTTTTGTATTTTATTTATTTAAGAATTACTTAGCACCTTTCTTTTGCTGAAGCTGGCTTTGAATTAGTGATCCTCCTGCCTCAGCCCCCAAGCTCTGGGATTACAGGTGTATGCCACCATGGCTGGCTATTTTTTTTCCTTTTTCAAATTTGTTCTTTTTATATATACATGACAGTAGAATCCCTGTCAGGTTATAACCATCAATTAAAAAGCCTTCTCTTCTGTGAAGGTTTCTCTTTCTCAGACTTTCTTAATTAATCTCTCTGATGCTTGCATAGTACCGTCCTCAAACTGGTTATAGCTTCTGTGTTCTGCATGGTGAAGATGTATACATAACTTTTATTCCTTCACTAGATTGTCTGTCCCTGAGGGAAATGTTGTGCCATAGATTTATCCTTACAACACATAGCCTAATTGTTCTTAACAGGTGACTTGTGAATGCTGGCTGAACTGAACTGAATCATGAACCAGTATTAGGATGAGAATTTTTTTTATTAGTTGCTCAYGACAATACAATGATCTTGACATATCATATATTTGATTCAAATGGGGTATGAATTCTCATTTTTCCACGTGTACAGGTTGCAGGATCACATTGGTTATACTGCCACGTATATATATACAGCAATACTAGTGTCTATAAGTGACTTGAGAGGCAAAGCTTTAGACCTGGTATTCTGAAATCACAATGTACACTTGTGAATTTTATATATGCTTCATGGAAGGGTAAATTCTTTGAAGGGAACAGTCTTCTATCCCTTCCATTTTGGTTAAGAAACAGCCACGGGTGAGGTGGCCCAGGTCAGCTTTATTACCATAAAGCCACGGGGCTACTTCCCAGTCTCTCTTTTCTCCAAAACAACAAAACAAAACAAAACAAAAAAACAAAAATAAAAACGAAGTGGGATGGGGCAGCGGGAAGACAAGAGCTGTTTTCAACCTCCTAGAGCTGACACCCCTCTCAGAAAGGCCCCTGGAGAGTTTTCTGTCTGGTCCCCACTCACTCTTCCCAGGTGCCCACCAAGAATTGAGAATATCCAGTGTGTCTTCTGTGGACAAGGAGAACCTTCTTATAAACACTTATTTTCTTAATTCATGCTGAGCTTTTTGCTTTTGAGACACTGTTATTCAAACGTTCTAAAATGCTGTAGGAACAAGCAGATCGGAACAAAGGCAAATAAATCGAATCCTGTGAATTAGCAAAGTAGACGCCCTTTCTTAACAGCCAGCACAAAGCTAAATGAAAAATATCAGTCATCCACTAGATACAGTATTTTCCCCTCTAGCTAGAGCTGCGGTTTGCAAACCTCCCCTAACCCAAATGGGAGACAGCAAAGGTATAAAACAAACTACCAGTTCCCAGACAGGAGTCAACACTTCCAGCAGCATCATCTATTTCTTCTTCGAGTAACCCTAGCTGGTGGAAAGACCTTGGCTTTTACTTACCCGTACCTGTCTCCAAATACACTTGCGGGTGGGGGTGGTGAGACGGAGGGAAGGTGCAGTGAGGTTAGAGGGAGGGGGAAGAGGAGGGGGAGAGAGAGGAGAGAGAGGAGAGAGAGGAGAGAGAGGAGAGAGGAGAGAGGAGAGAGGAGAGAGGAGAGAGGAGAGAGAGAGAGAGAGAGAGAGAGAGAGAGAGAGAGACAGACAGCGGTAGAGTGAGAGGGAGCCAGCCGGATCCAGGAGTCCTCGGTGGTGCCAGACAGTGGGGAGAATTGGGGCGCTCGGGAAACCGCTTTGGAGCTTAGGGCAGTTACCTGGGCAGTTAGTGCTCTCTAGGGAGTAGGGCGCCCACATCCCTCCCTCATTCAGAAAGCCAGAGGAAAGGTGAAGGGGACGCCTGTCTGGTTCCAGAGCAGTGAGGAATCCAGGCACAGCTCCGCGAAGGGTGCACTTCAAAAACGCAGCGAAGACAACCCGCTAGCACCTGTGCTCCCAGGGGGCGGGGCCTCCTCCAGGTGTGCAGAAGGGGAGGCCGACGCGGAGAGCCCTGGTCCGTCCCAGGAACCCAGGCACCTCCMGCCACGAAATGCAGTGGGAGGAGCGGTTAATCCGCGCACCGCCGCGGCCGCGGCATCTGCAGGCGCCGCCTGCCTCTTTCGGGGGAAGTGGGGAAAGCACACGCTGCGGCGAGGAGAGGGTTAACCCGGCGGTTCAGGGCTGAAGCGCACTTAACTCTTCGGCGCCCGCGGGTCAGTGGAGYCAGACCCGGGTGGCGGCACCCTAAGTCTCACAAAGCGGCCACCCTGAGCGCGCGGGCGGTGCAAACAGAGCCCCCAGCCCAGCTGCTGACAGCTGGGGCGCGACGCGGCCCGTGGGAGGCTCAGAGCGGGCGGGGGTGTGGAGGGAGGGCGGGGGACGGCGGCGGCGGGCGCGCAGCGTCGCCAGGGCGAAGCCGGCGTGCGGCGCGGCGCGGCGGGCGCGGAGCGAGCGAGCGGGCGAGCGCCTCCGTCCCCGGATGTGAGCTCCTGCTGCCCGCGGTCCCGAGCCAGCGGCGGCGGGGGCGGCGGCGGCGGGCACCCGGCACCGCGGCGGGCGGACGGGCGGCATGGGGGGCGCTCCGAGCGGCCCCGGTGGCGGGGCCGGCATCACCGCGGCGTCCCTCCGCTAGAGGAAGGGACCAAGCCAATTCTCCTTTGCAGCAAAAAATTAAATGTATATATTATTAAGATAATATATACATCTGATTTTATTTTTTTAAAAAGTTTATTTTGCTCCATTTTTGAAAAAGAGGGAGCGTGGGTGGCGAGCGGTTTTTATAAATTATCCTTATTTTCTGTTATTTGTCCCTGTCCTCCCCACCCCCTGCTGAAGCGAGAATAAGGGCAGGGACCTCGGCTCCTACCTATCGGTAACCCCCTTACCCATCCCTCCCCCGCCCTAATGCCCAGCATAGTGCCCTGCACACAGTAGGCGCTCAATAAATGTTCGTGGATGATGATGATGATGATGATGAAAAAAATGCAGCATCAACGGCAGCAGCAAGCGGACCACGCGAACGGTGAGCAGTCAGAGTCTGGGCACCAGCTGCCAAATCTAATCCTTGTCATGGTCCTCCTCTTCCCACCCCCTCTTCCCCCCCACCCCCAATCTCCAGTGCTCTGGGTGGGTTGAGGGGGTTGGAGAGGATGCTTCTAGCTCGGTGTCATCTACATAGAAGGGGAAGATGCGTGACAGCCACTCSGTTCTCCCCTTCAGGCCCTGAATGTCAGAGTTAATTCTGCATTTGTGGGGTGGGGGCAGCTATTGAGAACGTAGACTACTGTGAAGCTGGAGGGGCGGCGAGTCGAGGTGATTCGGGTTCAGTGTCCTCGGGCTCAACTTTCCTCCAACGCCCTCGAGCAATGAAAGAAGGGAGGTTGTTAGTCTTCAGCCTGAGCCCCCTTTCCAGCCTCCTCTTGCCTTCCCCTCCTCCCTTGCCCCCTGATTGACTGGGAAGAAGGTCCTTAGTGGCATCCGGAAAATTCTAGGATTGCCCGGTTTCACCCTTCACGCTGTGGGTGAAGCGTACACCCCTACACTTGCAGGGAGGCCGGGTCTTGGAATCTGGGGGAAGGGGGTCGGATGGAGCCAGTATTCCCGCTCCTTGCGCCTCCAGTGCGCACGTTGGTAACCTAGCAATGCCCGGGAAGTCGATGCCCCTGTGGGCTCCCCTCCTCAGTCTGGGTCCGCACCACGTGCAGTTTCCACGAGGACTGGGGTTGGGTCGAAGGGGGATGGAGCAACTCCTGGCCATACCCGGTCTTTGGAGATCAGTGGCGCCCCCAACCCCAGTAGACTTGAAGCCTTTCCGGGTGAGCGCTCCTGAAGGGAAAGGCTTGGCASGACTCATCTCGGGATCCGGTTGTCTGCTGTCCCCCGGCTTTGCTCCCTTCTCAGGCTTGCTGGGCAGACAGATCTGTGCTTGCTTTGACTCTTAACAATAATTGGCTTTGCAAATGCTCATCCCTCTACCTCTGTACRTCTCTCTCACTTTGACTTCTGTCTCTGCTAGGAGGCTGTGGCCCAAGGCAGACAGGTGCCTGGGAGACCTGCCTGGGGATGGCCTGACCCCAAGTGGTGGGGGCTTCGCTCACAGAGGCCCTCTTTGGTTTCTGCCTTGTGTGCACCTGGATGTTAGTCTACACTGAAATGATTTTTGTTTAGGCCTTGAGGGCCCCCTGGCATAATCTAGCCTGTCTATCCTAGGTGTAGGTGTGCAGGCTGTCTGGATGTTGGCTTGGCTGCTGCTGCTGCAATTTTTGCATTTTAAATGCAAAAAAAGCCCTAAACATGTTTTCTGTTTTCCGAAGCTCCTGGAGGAAATGAGTCCCAAATATCATGAATTTTCATTTTAAGGAAGTGTCAGTGCATAATCTAGATATCTGTTATAGGGCTTTTTGTATTGCCTTGTATCAGGTGAAGATTTTTTTACCATGCTGAAAAAATGGTTTTGTGGTGGTGGAAAGATGTTGGAGTAACACCCTGAAAATAATTAAGACTATTGAATTATTGGCACTGCCGTGTGTKTGTGTGTGTGTGTGTGTGTGTGTGTGTGWGWGWGWGAGAGAGAGAGAGAGAGAGAGAGAGAGAGAGAGAGAGAGAGAKATGGTGGTAATTATTTTAGAGAAAAGCTGTTGTACATATCTGTTAACTTGTAGGAGATACATGGGTTTTCCAAGTCAGAAAAGATACAGAAAAAATGTGGCAATGACCTCAGTTTTTCAGAAGAAATGTACCAAAAGACTCCTTGCAAAGACATGGGTGTGGAATACAAACTTGATTAGGTGTGGTGCTTGCAAAGATTCTGTGTGACTGACACTTAGAACAGAGCTCTTAGACTTTCTCACTGTTCTGCTTGACAAATCCTTGCTTCTAAAAAATAGGACATGAGATTCAAAACAGGAACATCAGAATGATTTATCCTTTTAATGTTGGTATACAACCTTTGTCTCCCCACCCCCTCACCACTGGATTCTCATGTTATTGTTTTTGTTTTGTTTTAACTGTTCTTTTTCTCCTTCTTTCCAGAGGCAAACTATGCAAGAGGCACCAGACTCCCTCTTTCTGGTGAAGGACCAACTTCTCAGCCGAATAGCTCCAAGCAAACTGTCCTGTCCTGGCAAGCTGCAATCGATGCTGCTAGACAGGCCAAGGCTGCCCAAACTATGAGCACCTCTGCACCCCCACCTGTAGGATCTCTTTCCCAAAGAAAACGTCAGCAATACGCCAAGAGCAAAAAACAGGGTAACTCGTCCAACAGCAGACCAGCCCGCGCCCTTTTCTGTTTATCACTGAATAACCCCATCCGAAGAGCCTGCATTAGTATAGTGGAATGGAAGTATCCTTTTTTTTTKGGGGGGGGGGAGTCTTTCTCATTTTCTCTTTTACCATCTGTTCTTTAAAAGGATTTGCTTTCTGAAATGACACTTACAAAGCTGTAGCAGTCTGGAATGTGAAGCTGTGTATTAGGGGTTTCATGGTATATAACTTCCTGTCTCCTTAGGTTACAGAAGGATGGCTCCCTGGGTATATTTAGACTACTGTCTGTGTGGGTGTGTGTTTAGTGATGGGGGGAGGGAGTGAAGCCTAAAACTTCAAAGTGGTAGAGAGATAAAATATGAAACTGATCTTTGGTCATTAGACACTACATGGTTAGTTTTAAATCCACTGTTGTTTTGGGGCTGTGCTATACATTGAACCTATTGCAGATGAGGTACACTGATGAGAAAAAAAAAAAAAAAGACTGAGACTGTACTAAGACTGTACTGGTAGTGACCTTTGGTGGAATCTTCTCATTTCTTTTATTTGAAATTTCCTTCTGCAACTATAGTTAATGCTAAGGTTGCTTCAAGTTCTGACATTTGATGTTTCTAATTGTTCAGGTAACTGCAAATATGAACGTTTCTTTCATAGGGAGTGTTTTTGATTTTTTTGGGCTATAAATGCTGTGATTTCCTGGAATTTCCTTTTTGACAAGTTCAAAAACAGTATTTGAAACGTGAGTATGGGGAAGCCTGTGCAGGGAGAGGTTTGTGAATGCTTGTTCTTCCTGAGCCTTGGAGAGTTATAGAACAGCCCTCTCCGTGGAGGAATTTGCAGTTGCTGTCTTTATAAAAAAATTCTGTCTATGTCCTTGGACTGAAGTTACATTTCTGGGCGTCTCCTTTGTATTTTTAAAACTGAGTTCCAAGTGCCCCGTGATGGTTGTCATGCTCTAGATCTTCGATGACTTATTGTGCTTCTGCCTGTTTATCCCCATCCCTGTACCTGGAGGCCAGACTCCAGTTATTGCCTTTCTTCAGAAAAAGTTGACTGAAATCTTCTCTTTGAACAAATGGCTAATTAGTCAGATGATTTGTTGGTCTGGGAAAAGTAGAGCATTTTCTTTTCCCAGAAGAGTATTTGGGGCTGACAGGTGCCTCAGAGCAGTTCCTAATGGTAGACCGGAGTGACAAAATTGAGCTTCCCTAACCAGGCCCAGAAAGGTGGAGAGGATGTTGACAGCTGGCTAGGAAGTGGAGCTGAACCCCCTAATAATTTGAGTCCTAAGCTAGGCATTTATTTGTTTGCCCTTTGTCTTAGCTTACTATTTTCTCTGCTTCTGGACAGGAGTTAAAAGTGAGGCAACTGTCTAAAAGGTATTGGAGAGAGCAGTTGAATGCATGGGTAGGATTTGAAAGGTTTTCTCGTGCTTTTTCTTTTTAGAACAGATGTCTCTTCTCTCGAGTGAGTTATGATGTCTTTCACATTTGCTGGGGTTGTGTGCGTGCATTTTCTCTTTAAGTTCTTTTCTAGTCTGAGGACAGAACACTCATGTCAGGCCGGCAAGGAACTAGGTAAATTAGTGTGTGCCTCCATAGCCTCACTGGAGTCAAGGGTAGCAGTGCATTTGCCAGAAAGATCTCCTCCTCCTTAGATTTTCTTGATGTGACTCTGAGTAAGCAGAGACCTCTTGGTGAGGTCATTAATTTTATGTGGAGTGAGGTGGGAGACCCAATGCTGTTTCTCTTTGTGTACAGTGTTTTGTACATAACAATTTATGTGTATAAAGTGAATATAAAGCTGCCGGCTTCCTTTCCCAAGTTGCCAGACATATGTATACAGGAAATAGGGCATGTGGCTTCTGGTTCAGGGAGAAACCTGCTTACAAGTGGGATGGTTTGTAGAATAGGTAGATATTAAATGATATGTGATCTATTTGTTTTGTCAAATGACAGTTTCCTTCCATTTTAGGGAGCTAGTTATAGAAATCCACCCTATGCCAGCTCTGTCAGGCCCTGCAAGCACTGGGGAAATGAGAGTCTTGTTTGTTTTTACGGATAGGCAGGGCAGAGGGTCCTGGACCTTGGGGGAGCAAAAGGTGTTCCTCTCATTAGAAGAAATTGTTAGAATCAGACCCCATCTACTTTGTGTGGCAGTGAGATAGTATCCACCAGTGTCTGGGGACTGAAATCAGACCAAGACAAAACAAAAAACACATTTTATGTTTAGCCTTCCTGAACAGTTGAACATGTTAGTATTGCTCAGATTTGCATGTTTATCATTTAGGGAGTTTGGAAAAGAAGGATGCTGGTATGGGGGCAGGGGAAGCACTAACTGTTTCTACAGAGAATAACTTTGGGGCAGTCAACTTTTTAAATTTCAGTGGGAAACCTGAAAAATGAAATGAGAATTCTGAAGTCTCCCCTTGCCTCACCCCAGTCCTGGGGATTGAATCCAGGAGTGCTCAGCTACTGAGCTACATGGTTGGTTCTTTTATTTTATTTTGAGACAGGGTCTTGCCAAATTGCCCATGCTGGTACTGGGGATTGAACCCAAGGCCTTGAAAATGGGAGGCAAATGCTCTATCATAGAGCTACAACCTCAGCCCTCAGAAGTCTTCTTAAGGTGGACTGCCTTAAAGTTGGATCTCTGGATAAAAGATTTGTAACACTAGATGAGTTAAGAGAATCAATATGAGTTAAAGCTAACGGGTTTAAAATAAACCCATCAAAGTTAGTAAGGGGATAATGTTATTCCTGTCCTTATTCCAATTAGTTATCAAAGCTCTTCAAAGGGGCTGAGGTTTTATGAAACCCAAGAAATCTCCAGAGAGGTAAGGGATATTTATTTCTTACATCATTTTTTTTGATTTCCCAGAAGAGTATCAGGATGAATAGGGAAGAGTCTGTTGATAGCTTCAAATCTTTAGTACCTTGAGGGATTTAGTTAAACCATGGCCTTGCTTCTTGTGGGTGAATGTACAGGAACACTGTTGTAAAATCAAGCCCAGGAATCACAAATTAGGTTGGTGTTCCTAAAACCTCGAGTTTAAAATGGCTGAAAACCAAAAGAATAAAAACAGCCATTTTTGGCAAATATCAAATTTGTATTGCCAGTTTTTACAATGTCTCTTAATAACACCAGCATGTTTTAGTAAGTATGTGTTCGAGGCTGATCTCAAAGTGATTCTTACAGAGAGACCTCCGAGATTTAAATTGTTAAGGCCTATTTTTAAAGTGTCTGGTGCTGATTTCTTATGGCTTTTTAATTTAATTTGTTTATAAATTGGACACAGCAACAGCACATTATAAACTGAGCTCCGGTCCAGCTTTAATCTGAAACAGTTATAGCTATCGATTACTCTAGAAGAGAAAGCAGAGGAGGGAGCTGGWGCCTGGCGTGCTTATCACAGCATCTGAGGTACTGAAAGTCATGAGAGTCACAGGGAGAATGGAGAAGATTCCTAGTGGCTTTGTCCTCCCCAATCCAGATAGGAGATTTAGACTGACCCAGCCAGGAATAGCCCCTGAGAAAATGGCTCTAACACATGGAGGCAAGGATCTGTGGAAGAGATTTATACCATGATGGCTACTTTCTCTGTGTCTACAACAGCTGGGAATTTAGTAAGGCCCTCCTTGCTTTTTAAGCTCCAAGAAGCAGAAACCTGGTTCACACAATGCCCTAACTGGCTGTTCAATACTTTTAGGTTTTAATATACAGTGTACAGCAGAATAATGAATGTAACATGATTCTTGCAACAGAAAGAGGACATGAAGAGGTCACTGGATAGGGTGACCTACTGTGAGRTGACCTTCGATGATTATTTCTCTTGAAAACCTAGTAGTCACAGTAGTCAGTCAAAAAATGATTTGTGTTTTGTCATTTTCATTTTAAAAGTAGTTCACATGTGTTATGATTGGGAGTGTGATTGTAGACATGGTTTATGTTTATATAATGCATATGTACCTTAACAAAAATTTTCAGACCATTTGACATATTTATATTATTGGCTATTTTTGCCAATTGTGTGGCCTTAGCTATTTACATCCCATTCCCTGAAGATGATTCTAATTCAACAAATCATAACTTGGTAAGTGTCTTCAGAGTTCCTGCTTATCCTGGTGTACGGTTATCATTTGCTTCTGTACTTGAACTGGCAGTTGACTTTCTGGGTGATGGAAATTTACAACCATGGATATGATGTTTCTTGAAGTTTTGCTACCATATTTTTTAAAAATATTTTTTAGTTGTAGATGGATACAATACTTTTATTTTATTTATTTATTTTTATGTGGTGCTGAGGATTGAACCCAGTGTCTCATATGTGCCATGCAAATGCTCTACCACTGAGCCACAACCCCAGTCTCTTGGTTTTGTTTTAATCTCTATTCTCACGTTTTTTTGAATGAAAGGGTTTAAAGTCATGAATCTTGTATAAATAGATATGGAACATTTTGCAGAGGAGATGTGTAGAAGATTTTAAAATGACTTTCTCTCTCTGCCTAGGCATTTGCTTTCTACCATGCTCTTCCTGATAATATTAGTTTTCTCTCCCTCTCTCTTTTTTTAAAATCCAGTGTTGTTTGGGAATGGTGGGTACTTTGTTCAGTTTTTCTGGTAAGTAGAAAAATGTCACAGATCTTGTATATGAGSTATTAATTTTTATAAAGGTAGAATACAATAAAACTAATAAATCTATACAAAGCATAATTTGGAGAATAAAACAGTATAGTATTGATGTTTCTACTTCAACTACTATGAAATGTCCCAAGGTAAAATGAGTTTATGGTTAAACACTAGTATCCTTCTATATACTTTATTGCCCTCTTAAAGATTTATAGTGTACATTAGCTGAGTAAAAGTTCTGGGAAGTTCCACAGTTAAAAAATAGGTTTCGTTTTGTTTAATTCAGCTAGTCCCTGAAAATAATTGGTTATGGATTCGTTAAAATTTTTTTTGGCAGAAGACTTTACTGTCATGGAACCACTGTTCCATGGGACTTCCTTTGGGAAAAGTTGATATAATTAAAAAAAAAAAAGCACTAAGGAGCACTAGACTGAGACTAGGAGCTTGTCCCACTCAACTGTCAGGGAGTTATATTCTGGAGCATTTCTCATACCCTTTTTGTATTGCTCCTCCCCCACCTGGCAATTAAGGGGATTGGCTAAGAAGATCACTAGGATTGTTTTTACTTCTGACATTCTGTAGTCTTTCTTTGATGATTCAGAAACCATTTCAGGATTTTTCTGGGGTTGCAGCATCCTTCTTGCAAGAAGCAGTTCCTGATAATTGGAGACCAAGTGGATGAAGGAGGGAATGGCAGACTTTCTCTTCGGCTTTCACCTTTTCCAGCTAGTTGCACTTGGTTTTGGTTTCTTGTGTTGATACTGTATTTGAACAGGGCTGGATGTTCTTAAGTGAGCGAGTGCTGAAAAGGCAAACACACGATGATGCTGTTCCTAGTCAGGGAGAGCTCTGCTGGCTTCAAAAAATAGTGAAATTATACTCTTGTGAATCTAGCCTTAATCGTTTATGGTACAGGATTTCTTGTTATATTTAAAGTGTTAGAGGCTGGGGATGTAGGTTGGTGGTGGAGCACTTGTCTAGCGTGTGTGAGTTCAATCATGAGTACCATAACAATAAAGAAAATCAGTTGGGCATATTTCAGATGTAACATCATGTCTCTATGTATTTGGGTTTGGGTAGTTTGATTTCTAGAGAGTTTTCAAAAATTTTTGGATATTGCTGCTGAAAATACAACTGTGAATGGGAGTTGGATATACCTATGAACACTATGAGTATATATTTGTACTATGTTTGAGATTATTTGCATAATTTGGGGTATTTTAAATGGCTTTTGATTTGGTTGTAGACATTTGACATTAAAYGATCATTTCAAAGGAAAAGCAGAAAGAGTGAAAAGCCTCCCATCAATGGAGATGGATCCTCGTAGTCTAGGCCACAGATGGTGTTAGCCTTGTTACCAAATTTAACAACGTGGATGGTGACCCAGTTTGTTGCTTTTTGTAGCTCAAGAGAACATGATTAAACAAACTTAGAAAATAAATACCTTTCAGAAAGGCAGATTAATTTAGATCAATGGAATAATTAATGTAGCTGCATGTGTAAGCCAATTAATATTCTGATTTTTTTTTCCCAGAGAAATTCAGGGCACTAATATAAATGCTGTCAGACCATTTAGATTTCTCAGCTAAGAAGTGATGGAATAAAGTATATGAAATGGATAAATCTCTCTTCTCCTTTGCAGCTCCGCCCAGTGGATCTTTTCTTTATAATTCTTAAACTCTGGATTTGTTCTTAGGGTAGGTGAGCAGTGTGTTAGTTTGGCAGGCCTTTTGAAATACCAACGTATATTTTGACCTCTTTACTGTGTGTTCTGAAACTCGTGGTGTTAAAGTTTCTGACTGCTTTCACTTGGATGGTCACATGGCCAGATAAGTTTCTGTACTGCCTGACTCTTTAAATATTTCCTTTCCTACTGTGGGAAGGGAGGCTCTTTGTGGATTTCCCCCTGACTCTGAGCAAGGTCCCATGCCATGTCTGTCCTCCCACCAGGGAGCTAGTTCTTTTTTTTATACATTTGACCCAATTTGTACCCAAGTGATTGCTCTATTTTTGGGATCGGTTTAGAGGCAGCTGAACAAAGCTTATTTTTCATCTGTAGTAAATACCTTTCATTTAATGTGAATGACAAAACAAAGGGCAGAGGCTTACAAAGGTTGCAAAGCTGTGCATCTCAGGGACCTGGTGGATTTCTTTGCCTGTTAGCTCAGTGGGAATTGTGTATGACAAGCACTTAGAGTGACATTCAGGGCCCCTTTATGGCTGATGTTTCAGCCTATTTCAGGTCAGTTGTAGTGATAGTATTACTTTAGTTGAATAAGAAATGTGGCCATTTCCATGAGCCCAGTGTATGTTTGGTCTGGGTGGTGCGTAACTCAGCTAGCTTTGGGGATTTGAAGACTACCTTGGGGGTAGTAAGTTTTCCCAGAGTTAGATTTTTCTTTTTTTAAATACAAACAGTCTAAGTTTCTATGCCGTTTTCCTTTGTGGACTCACAGGGACAAGTGGAGGCTGAAGCCATGGAAACAGTGCAGCTTACTCAGTTCCCACAGTCGTGGCCCTCCCAGTTAAGTCAGTAGCAGTGTTTCCTCATTTCTACTTAATGAAAACTGTACATCATTTTTTTTTTTTTTGGTTTGTTTTGTTTTCTTGTTGGTACAGAGGAGGGGAGCTTTTTCTGTATYTGGTGTCAGAGTAAGGATGATTACAAGTGATACATCCCTGTCATGAGAAATGCTTTATTTTGCATTCCAGCCTTAAGTCCCTCATAAGCAAACTGATATCGTTTTCAGTCTGTGAAACCTCTTCCTGGTATTCTCCCTCCCCAGGCTGCCTCCCACTTCTGTTGTACAGAACTGCCTCAATTTAGAAATGTCCCAATTGAGGATCCCATATGTCATTTCAGACCTTCCTTGCTATCTGCTAATAATTGCACCCACCTCTAAACCAGTTCAGAGTAGCAGGAGGGTGGGGCCTCTCTGTGACTCATGCTTCTCTATCCCTTTGTCTAGCAAAGGGCCTGGATTATAATAGATGCTCAGTAAATGCTTGTTAAGCTGAACAAAATGTTTTACTAAGTGTTTGACCCCATTCCTGCACCTTTCCTCATCTTATGTTGAGGCCTGGATGTTCATACTTTTAGTTTCTTGACATTTTGCCTCTGTTCAATCCACTTCCACTTCCACTTCATTCACATCAGTGTCAGATGTCTTGCTAGAAGTGATCCTCAGGCTTCAGTGGCTAACTATTGCCCACCAAAGAAAGACCAGATCCCATGGCAGGGTCCAATTTGTTCTGGTCCAACCCCACTCTTCTCCTTTACAGTCTCCCCTGTCCTATATGTCCATCCAAAGTTCTTAAGTATCCCCTTTTCTACTTGTCCACCTCATAGCTTTTCTTCCACCGTTTTCTTCATCTGAGATGCTTCTTCCTCTCCATTACCTTTCTTCATATGTCACTGTCTTTAAGTTGCTTAATAATCTCAACTTATATTTCTTCAATGAGACCTTTTCTGATCCTGATCCAAAGGAACAAGTCTTATTTGAACCCCTCTCACAGCACTTTGCATGTAAAACACCATACATTTCTGTTATTTATTTGCATATCTTTATCTTATCAAGCAAGCTCAGAATACAGTTCAGAGTGAACCATTTTGAGTCCCTGACCCTGCTCAGCACAATAGTACACTGTAGATATTCAGTCACTGAATGTTGTTGACTGACAAATGAATAGGTCTTTCAGGAGATGCACCTTGCCCTTTCCTCTCCTTGAGCTAAAATTTAGAATTTTCTTGGATGGCAGGTCCCTCTGTGGACTCCTTAGAGGTCCTTTGCAGGGAGTGGGTAGGAAGTTGTTTCTTCCTGAATTTGGAATCTGTGATTCTTGTGTATCTCTGGCTGAAGGATCCCTCAGAACTGGGTTTCAGAGTGAAGCAGTCACATTTTGGGCTCTGGTTACAGGGATCAGAGTAGCAAAGAGTGGTGGGAGTCCTTCTGGTAAACTGTGCTGGGCTATGGACACTTGTCAATGGGATTAGATGTCTTAAAGGGGCCAGGAATGCTCAGGGACAGTCTGCTGTGATTGCCTTCTCTTTATTACATCTGAGATCCTTATATATAGTGTTAAGTGGGCTTAAAAAGCAAGCTCATCTGGGGTTGTGGCTCAGTAGTAGAACACTTGCCTAGCATGTGTGAGGTAGTGAGTTCGATTCTCAGCACTGCATATAAATAAATGAATAAAATAAAGGTCTATGAACATCTAAAAAATATTTATATATATAAAAAAGCAAGCTCATTGGATTTGCATGGTCATGATTTAGTTTCTCACCGTTTTGCACCAAATGGGGGTGTATTGTAATAGAGTACTTGAAACAATTTTGTAACCAGGCTCATTGGACTTTGCCTATAGGGTGTATATTAGTTCTGTGCYTCATTTACACTGTTTTTCCTCTATTGTGTTCTGCTTCGATTGCAATCTCTTATTTCTGTGTGCCTAGATTCTGTCTGT